GGTGGAGATGGTGGGACAGAGGAGGTGGAGACGGTGGAGAAGGTGGAAGTAGAGGAGATGGAGACAGTGGGATGGAGCTGGAGGAGATGGAGATGGTGGGGTGGAGGAGATGGAGGTGGTGGGACAGAGAAGGTGGAGATGGGGGTGGTGGAGGTGGAGATTGTGGGGTGGTGGAGGTGGAGATGGTGAACGTGGAGGTGGCGGTTGAGGGGTGGACATGGAGAAGGTGAGGAAATGGTGGGATGGAGACAGCGGAGGAGGTGGAGAGGGTCGTGGGGTGGACGTGGTGGGCTGGAGGTTGAGAAGGTGGGATGGAGGTGGGCAAGGAGCGATGGGGTGGAGGTGAGGAGGTGGTGGAGGTGGAGATGGTGGCGGGGAGAAGGTGGCGGAGATGGCGGACGCGGAGATGGAAACGGTGGGATGGAGGAGGTGGGGATGGTGGGACGGAGACGGCGAGGAGAAGGTGGGGGTGGTTGTGGGCTGGAGGTGGAGAAGGTGGGGAGGTGTTGGGGTGCGGGTGGAGATGATGGAGGGGGTGGTGGGATGGAGGTTGTGGCCTTGGGGCGGAGTTGGGAGGAAGGTGAAGGTGGGGATGAAGGTGGAGGTGGAGATGGTGGGGTGGAGATACGGAGGTGGGGTGGAGGACGGGCAGCCTGGTTGGACCCCAGGGGTGGCTTGGAAGGCGAAGACGACTTCGGTGGGGCCGGGCGTTGCATTTTTTTTTTCCCCCCGTTTCTCCTCTTTTTGGCTCAGAACGAGAGCAACAAAGCCAACTTTGAGAAGATGATCGAAGCTTTGAAGGCCAGCAAGGGCGGGAAACGCATCGGCGTCTTCAGCAAGGACAAGTTCCCCGGTGACTTCATGAAAAGCTGGAACGATTGTCTCAGCAAAGAAGGCTTCGAGAAGGTCCGGGGAGGTCCCACCACCCTTCTGGGGGTTTTTGGAGGTTGGTTGGTTTTTTTTTTTTGACCTTCTCTATGAGGTCACCTCATCGTCGTCCCCGCCGTTGATTTACCCGTAGGTGGACATCAGCGCCGT